CACCACAGCAAAAATTCCAGTTTCTCCACAACCTTCTTTCGAAGGATGCTAAGCGATTCTATCTGGAACGTGTTCAGATGTATGCTCAAAGTTACCAGCAGGCGGTAGATATGGTGAATCAAGAATACAATTCACCTGTGCGTCAGACAAGGGTGAAGAACTATCTAAACTCCCCACGTGTTTCAAACTTCGTTAAGGAAGGCTTTGAAATATCAACAGCATTAGCTAAAGTATATAAGCTAATAACGAAACTATCGCGTCAGGTACCACCATCACATCGCGGGGACTCACACAAGATCGAGTTCCTAAGGAACGCTGCAGTTGGATACGGTTGGTCTCGTGAACCGTTAAGCCGAGTGGCAACCCATAACTTGTCATTCTAGATGCTATACGGGGAACTAGAAGCTGCGCTGCAGTTAGACAAGGAGGCTGATCTGGCTTTGGCACGTGACCACGCAGCTGGACCTAGTTCCTCTGTTGCGAAGGATGACTCATTGGGGGTACTGTACACTGGACAGGGTCGCTACGGTAAACATCCGAGGTATGTTAGATCAAAGGCAACTGGATATTCTTCACAGAAAAAGAAACCGCTGGACATCGCAGGTTGCTTTAATTGCGGAGACCCAAATCACATGCTCAAGGATTGTTCGAAACCCATAAATGCGTCCAGAGCTGCCACAATGAGACTGGAGTACTACAAGAAAAAGGACGACAGAAAACATGCTGTACATTTGGTTCTAGCTGAGCTGTGCCAACAGATCGACAAAGGATTTGCCGAGTCAGACGATGAGTCCGGAGAACCCGACGATGTCGAGATATTCCGCCTTGCGTTGAGCGAAGACGTCGCCCAAGCATCTGGCCCCACGTTACTCGATCACGAGAGTGATTCTGATATCGACTTTGCAGAGATATTCGTCTTATCACGCTCTTGGGACTCTCCGGCTAGCGATCAGTTTGAAGGCGCCTGTGTTGACTCAGGAGCCCAGAAAACTGTAATCGGATACCAGCAAGCTGAAGCTTACTGTGCATTAGTCAACAGCGAACTTGACAGGGAACTTAATGGAAAACGTTTGATCTTTACTTTCGGATCAGGCAAACACGAGCGGATCGGACAACTTACCGTTCGTATCCCGGTTTCCAATTCATTCTTTCTCTCTATTGTGGCCGACGTCGTTGATGTGGATGTTCCCTTCTTACTAGGACTGGACGTTCTGACCAAAGCACGTCTAATACTGGACTTTGAGGATGACGTGATGATATCAAAGGCTGATGGATGGAATATACCACTGACAAGGAAGCATGGTCATGTGTACATCGAATGGTCTTTGAATATTTTGTTCACAACGTCTGAATTACGCAAAGTTCATCAGCATTTTTATCACCCTCATCCCGACAAAGTTTATGCCTTAATGCGCCGTGCGGACCCCTCTAATGTATCATCTGATGTCATGGGAGACCTACAGAAGATCACAGATACTTGCGACGTTTGCCAGCGCGAGGCTAATGCTCCCCATAGGTTCAGAGTATCTATGCCCGAAACTGATTGCGTATTCAATCGCACTGTTTGCGTTGATCTCATGACCCTTGATGGAAAAACAGTGTTTCATGTCGTAGACAGGGATACAAAGTTTAATGCCGCATGCTTCTTTGTTGGAGAGTCTACAAAAGATGTATGGGACGTTTTCATGGACATATGGGTGTCTCGGTACGTTGGATTTCCTGACAAGATATCCGCTGACCAGGGACCACAATTCAAGTCTACTGAATGGAAGAATCTTCTTAATACTGCTGGGATCAAGGAACAACCTTCAGGCGTCGAGAGCCATAATGCTATTGGCGTGGGTGAAAGATACCACTCGTATCTAAGACGTGTTTACAACAAAGTACGTTCCGATAATTCTCAGACTCAGCCGAGACTGGCACTTCAGCTGGCTGTTAAAGCTGTCAATGACACAGCTGGGCCTTCGGGACTCGTCCCCACGCTTCTAGTCTTTGGCATACTCCCCCGTCTTCCTATTACTCCTAAAGAACTCCCTGAACATGCCGCGAGGATGAAGGCTATGGACGTTGCTTGCAAGGAGATGGTTCAAATTTCAAGTCAAGCTAGACTGGGAACCGCTCTCCGCAGTAACGTGCCGTCTGCCGCTGACAAGTCTTACTCAGTTGGAGACGAGGTACTAATGTACCGTGAGAAACCTATTGGCAAGTGGGTTGGTCCATACGTCGTCAAAGATAAGGAAGGTAAGATGTTGACGCTAGACACTGGAGATCGGAGCATCCGGGCATCTATTGACAAATTGAAGAGATACAAAGTCAGTGATGGGGCTCTTGCGCAAACTGATAACGATCCTTCTGATCATATCTCTGATAATGCTGGACAAACACCAAATGAAAATGTTATAGCTGAAGGTGACGATTTTTTGATGGATCATCCACTGGAAACTACGGTTGTAACAGATAGCTCTACGTCTCTTGGAAAGGATCTCTTCGATGAAGAATTGCTCGATATCATGAAAGGAATACGCGAATCTGAGCTCAGTAGGCTCGATGAGAATACTCTCCACTCTATCGACCCCATAAGTCTTGGAGTTGCTTTCATCGGAATTCACATCACAAAGGTGTTGAAATCCGGAGACTTGCGTGGAAATTCAAATGGTTTCAGGAAAGCAAAGCTAGCTGAAATAAGGGGGCTGAAAGATCGAAAAGTGTGGAAGGTAGTTCCCAAGTCATCTGTCCCAGCCGATGCAAATGTACTTGGCGGTCGATTTGTTCTTGCTATTAAGAACATAGGAACGGAGGACGAAAAGGAGAAGGCCAGATATGTCGCACAAGGTTACAAGGACAAAGATAAACCATATATGGTTCATGATATTCCAGCATTACGTGCTTCATCGATCAGACTTATACTATCTGTCGCGGCAATCGAAGGGTTCCGTGTCTTCTCACATGATGTGAATCAGGCATATACACAAAGCAAAGATAAACTAAGTCGAAAGATATTCGTTTTACCAAAAAAGGAGGATCTGGAGTTAATTGGAATAACTGATGAAGAGCTCCTGGAGCTATTAATTCCCTTATACGGTGTTTGTGACGCTGGTAACTACTGGAGTGTAACGTTGGAATTTCACGTCACAGAAGACTTGAGTATGACGCCTACCACTGGAGATCCTGCATTATATGCCAAGGTATCTGATGGTGAGACTGAAGGCGTAATGGGAATCTACGTCGACGACAACCTCAATGCAGGCAATGAGAAGTTTGAAAAGATAACTGCTGAAACACTCGAGAAGTTTGACGCAAAGCCGCGAGTCTACGACAATTTCGATTTCTTTGGCACAATGATAACAACCACATCTCCAGGCGAGTTTTTTCTCTCACAAGAGAAGCACGCCAAAAGATTACCCATCGCTCCAAAGGGCTGCTCATTTGATCATTTTCGAAAGCATCGAGCAAAGCTTTCATGGATGGCACATTCCCGTCCTGATCTATGCTGCAGTATCAACAAAGCTGCCCAGGTGACAGAAGATACAATGTCCGATGACAAAGTCAAGGCATTTAATCATGCAGTGAAGATTGCTAAAGGCAACGATGTTAAGGGGCTTCGATTCGGGAAACTTATTGTTGACACGCTCGTTCTGAAGTGCTACGCGGATGCAGCTTTTGCAACAAACGATGATCTATCATCTCAACTTGGATACATTATATTGATTTGCGACATGAACGCTCAATGCCATATTCTGGATTACTCGAGCAAGAAGCCCAAAAGAGTTGTACGATCCATCATGGGTGGCGAAGTTTATTCGTTTGTGGATGGTTTGACACTGCCTTTGTAATTCGGAATGACCTGGAAATTATGCTAGGAACTAAGATTCAGCTACATTGCTTTACAGATTCGAAGCAGCTGTTTGACTCAGTCACAAAAGGCAGACAGACAACCGAAAAGAGGCTAATGATAGACATCGCTGGGGCGCGAGACGCATACAAATCCTTTGATATTACTCAAATTGGCCTCCTGTGCACAGATCTTAATCCTGCCGATGGTTTATCGAAAGTTAAGGACAATGGAGCACTGTCAAAGCTGCTATTCACTGGTATTGATCACTGTGAAGTGGAGCAGTGGATCACGCGCAATGAATCAAGCTCGCTATCTGAAGAGGTGGGAGTGTAATGGTGACGGGGTAGGAATGCACTCTCACATTCTTGACAATAGATGTCTAGAATATCGTGCTCGCTTGGTTCCGTTTAGTCTTTTATTTGAGTTTATTTTCAGGCGATTCAATCAACTTCTACTACTTTCCAGCTCCTAATAAAGTGAGCTCGTCCCTGGCTTGCGACCGCCGCTCGCTCACCGACGACTCTTTTTGCAGAAACCTCTTCTCTTTTTGCGCACTCTCCACCGACGGACAGCGCCAAAGGAAGAAACAGGCCGGTCGAAGGCCTGTAGCGAACAGAGTCTCACTGTACGACAGTAGCGGGATAGGGCAGCTCGCTTCTACTACTTATGGGTCGGCGGCGAGGCGGGTACAGCGAGACGCCCGGCTGTTAGTAAGTGCTGTACAGCAGTGTCTATCCGACCGAGGATAGCTCTTTTTTTTGGAAAAAAAAATATATACTGTATATATATATTAAATTGAACATTCAAAAAGCTACCTTGAGCACTATTTCCTTAATGTGCTTGTTTTCGGCAATAGCATCTTGCAGAACACCGGGAATTGCAGCCTTGAATACGCAGAAAGACTAAGAATTACATGCAGATTGAGTACCAAGTTGCCTTTTTAAGCTGGCATGTTTGGTTTCGAAGTTATTTTATAAGCGGTTTTAAGGTGGAAACCCTTAAAAAAGGTTTTAAACACTAGTTTACAAGTCTCCTCATGGCGCACTGTGCAAACCGAGTTATTTCTAGTCGTTGACTACATTTGTATTAAGCATCATAAGCCCCAGAAGAGGTGGCGCAGCTTCACGCCAATCCTGGCGATGCTACCATTTTCCGAAAGGATTCCCATTACAACCGGAGTTCTTTTAATGCACAAAGAGTCAATCGGTCTGCTACACTAGCCAGCGGGCCTTTATACAGAGGGCCAAGACGGCCCGGCCATAAGAATCATACACTACCTACTCATCTCGAGCTACGTTCTACTCCCCTTTTAAAACTCGACCCTTTCTCCATCCAGTCCTTCTCTTATCCGCTCCATTTCCGCGTCCAGTTCAATCATCTCTCTCCTCAAGTCCCCGGCCATCGCCGTAACCTGCAGTCTGGCATCCTGCGGCGACAGCGGCTCCTGCATCCTCTGGTCCTCGACGGCCTTCGCCACATCCGTCCGCGCCCCGACAATCTCCAACAAACACTCCTCGCACACGTCCGATAGCGCCACCCACTGCGCGTAGTACACCACCAGCTTCCGCTTCACCGCCGTACACGGCTGCCACACGTCCGTGGGTCCGGTCACATCGATCTCGGCGCCCCGCGCGTCCGCGCCCTCCTCGTCCTGGCTCACCGCAAGCGCGTCGTCCACCAGCAACTCCGGCTCGGCCGTGGCTTGGATGAGGCCCACGAGCGGCTTCGACGACAGCCTCCCCATGTTCGCCCTCAGTTGCGCCCAGAACGACGCCATGTGCATGACTACAACGGACAGGCGCTTCAGCTCCCTAGCCACGGCATGCAGCGACTCAATCGCGGCCATAGCCGCGTCGGCATCACTCTTCACCGCCCTAATCCTCTTACTGCATTCCGAAATATCCGCGAGCGCCTCCCGATTCACGCGGCGCTGCTTGGCCTTCGCCCCCAGCAGCATCCTCCTCCGCTCGCCGGCGCTGACCACATCGGCCCTGACGCCTTGCAGAAACCTGGCCACGGGGGACAGGATGGCCAAGCCGACCGTGCTCACGAGCGCGGCGTCCAGGGCGTCGACAAAGCCGAGGACGGAGAACAGGGTAGCCCTGCGCGCGGCGTGGCGTTCCGTCCTGACGGCGTTGGCGTACTCGCGGCCGGCCTCCGAGAGGGAGTCCAGCATGGCGCCGTGTGTGTGCCACGCGGCGGCCTTCTGCACGTTGAGCTCGACGAGGCGGGAGCGCAGGCGGTGGCAGTCGGCCTCGCACTCTGCGCGGCGGGCGTGTGCGGCGTCCAGCGCGCGGGCGGCGTCCTCTGCCGCGGAGTCCAGGGCGGCGGACAGGTGGTGGGCCGAGGCGGCCAGGCGGTCCGCCAGATTGTCGTTCGCGGCGAGGTTGCGCACGGCGTGCGGGAGGAGGCGCGCGGACATGAGGGCGTGGTTGTGCGAGAGGTCGGCCAGCACGGCGTCCGCGGCGTGGCGGAAGCGCAGGACCGAGGCCGAGGTGGCGTCGAACAGGGCCAGGACTTTCGCAGAGAGGGCGGTGAGGTCGCGGGCCAGAGGCGTGTACGAGGCGGCCAGCGCGGCGGCGCGGGAAAGAGAGAGGAGACGGGAGACGCGCGACAGGTCGTCCGACAGCGTGGATAGGTGCAGCTCGGAGAGCAGGCGGTCGCGCGCCGTGCGGACGGCGCGCGAGGTGGAGGGCGGGGCGAGCGAGAGGTCGATGGGCTCCGCGTCGAGGACGACGATGGAGGAGGAAGGGGGAGGGGGAGGGAAGGGGAGGCTGGAGAGGGACATGGTGGGCGGT